TTTTTTTTTACTCAAGTGAAATGGAGCAGGAACCAGTCGATCAATAGATACACAACAATATCACATTCATTCTTTGAAATAGAGTCGTGACCATGTCATGATTTGCTGAAACAACATTCAAAATCCTGCACCATCGCATTTATGGGAAATTGTATACTCTGGTACCTCATCGGAGTTGTGCTGCACGGCGATGGGAATGGCCTGAGGTTTTTTTTTTTTGTTTTTTTTTTTTTTTTTTGTTTAGGTGAATACTTGAACAAAAGAATTCTTTGCATAAGTGTGTGGTTGCGCCCACCCTTACGAGCGTGAACTTTTAAGCACCCACCCTTCGATGTTCTTAGTACTCCATTTACCTATGCTCCCTGAAGATTCCTGGTATCTTTGGATCTTTACACACTGGCAACTTTCAGGGCAGGGCCAGCCCTCGTTGATAAATCTCATCATAGGCCCTCGGCCCCACGCTGTGTTCTGAGCCTCCGAAAGTTGTGGTGAGGGTTCAATTGCAGTTCCTAAAGGAATTTGGGTTGAAGGTACTGCTGGTTCAAGTGCTTCAGGGATCTTTGGAGTACTCTCGTTTCGATTTTATTGCATTTCCGCGACAAGTACCGCCGGCTTGGTTGCCATCTAAGAGTATATTTTTCATCGTTGGTCGTTGCAGTGCTGTGGTATCAACACATGGATATGGTCTTCAATGTTGAAATAAAGTTTAATAAACACCAAAAGATAATGTTATAACTTATAATCATATGGTTAATAACAAGGCTTCCCCTCACCCCGACTGGATTTACGCAAGGGTCCAATTTTATTGTGGATTTTTTCAACAATGCAATCGCAAGATTTTTGCACCCCGACTGCCAAGGAATTCGCTTTCGAAAGTTTCGGTACTATTCTGCAGCAGTTAGTGACTTGCGTCAAGCGACAACCTTGATTTGTGCATTCCCCAGCTTTGTTGTTTCATGCATATGTTTGACGTCTATGCCTGTGTGTGCCTGCTTGCAAGGCAATTTGCTCCATAGCTCTGGGCGAAATAATGAATCAACACGTGTTTTCAAGTTTGTTCGCAGCCCGTAGAGTTGCGTTCATAGTAACTTTATACGCCAGTCGTTTTCATCACTTGGTTCCACTGGTCGTTCACTTCGGCCCAAATTGGGCAGTGGAAGGGTGTTAAAATTGCAGGCAGCGGCTTCCGAGGGGACGGGCATATCCCTAAAACTCAACAGAAAAAAAAAATACATTGAACCTCACGCGACTGTCGATTTCTCATACACTATGGGTAAACAGACAAAAACGTAGGCATGATCTCAAATGTTTTTTTTTTTTTTTTTTATTCATAGAAGTACATCCGGATTAAGTAGGAGGAAATAAATGCGGATAATACGTATCAGATCAGTGCACAAAAACACACGCATGTCACTTTTAAAACATAGTTGCACAATCCACATAGATGTCTCACCCACGCATAGGCGATTATTCGTCCTTTCAAATCAACATCCTCGCTGCCCCTTCTTCCTGACCGTACTCCCAGTCCCCTAATCCTTGCGCTCAGGTTGACATGCCGTCTAATGAATTGCGACGACAATTAATAATGAAAAACAGTTTACTGAGTTTAGGGAATGCACGACCGCGGGGCTGGTTTTGGTTTGCCCCACTGTTTTGTAGAACATGTTGCTTGGATTCCCCCTCCTAAATGCAGAAGTAAATGTTCGATGGTAGTTTCGTTGACTACGAGTGTTGCTCCCACATAAATGTTTGTTCCTTTATTCATGGTCTATATATGTGTTAGTGCAATAAAAGATATTATTTTATCGGTGAGCTGCTTTGTGCACTGGAGCATACACACGAACGTATCACATTTCTTGGCGATCGTGGACTTGCTTGCTAAGTTGGGTTGCAGGTATGGGGTAAACGAGTTATAACTTGGCTTGCAGCTAAGTTGGTTTGCAGTTTTTTACTTTTTTTGATGGGAAAAATGCTCCAATCTATTCGTGGGGAGCAACACACGCTGGGAACCGGGCCCAGCGTCACATGAAGAATATACAAATGATTTGGAGTACCAGGGCAATTACCTGGCTTCGGCTAAGAATAAAACATGAATATTAAAGTTTTTTTGTCTCAAAAACTTAGTTCTCTTTTTGTTGGACAATTTTTTTTATTTTTTTTATTAATGTATACTAGTTGTATAGTATATTATTTAGCCAACTGCTTCGCTAAGAATAATTTTGGGGACATGCTGTTGTTTTATGCTACCAAAGCACTTCGGTAAGAAAAGTTCTTTCAAACTCGAACTAGTCTTTCCTAGTATTTTTTAGCGGATCAACTGTGGTAATTGCTCTTAGGCAATATATAT